AATCAATCAATCAATCAATCAATCAATCAATCAGTCAATCAGTCAATCAGTCAATCAATCAATCAATCAATCAATTAATCAATAAATCAATCAAACAAACAAACAAATTTATTTCGAACATGATGACCATACAAAGAGATAACCAAACTTAAACATATTACACATATTAATACAAAATACACATATTTTATAACAATAATAATCTCAACATGTTCGAAATAGAGTAGGAAAAAGTAAAAAACTTATAAACTCCTACCCCGTACTATTTTCAAATAATATACTGTACAATAATAAACCTCAGGCTGACTTAGTAAATCGTTAAATTACAATGTAAATTCATATTTACCCTTGTAGAACCCTTTGTGCTACAATCACTCCTCATATCTACACATTAAAGGATAGATAAACACAAGAATCTAATGCACCTGAACAAACATCAAGATTTAAGTAAATCACWTTCCATTTCACAGTTGCCTTTTTTTTGGCATAAGCGCACTACACACATATTTATGGTGACTACATACATATTCATCCAGCTATACACATGCATTCATATGCACTTATTAGTTTACATGTACACATTTATACACCCGCTCACCCATTCATGTTTCTATATCCTGAAAAAATAGCCTCCTTATATTTTCTTTTAAATTGTATTAAACTTTGAACTTTGACCGAGACAAGACCAAGACTTTTAGGGCCTGGACCAAGTCAAGACCAAGACCAAATAAATAAATAAATAAAAACTAGTGTCCTAAAAGATGGAGTATTCTGTATACATGAAACTAACCTAATATATAGAGCTGATATTGACGAAATCTTTATGTGAGGGCTAGCCTGGCCCTTGTCTTCCTACACAGTTCTGCTCAATTCTAGATTCCCAAAGCAAATAACAAGGGGCTGGTTTTTACCAGGCCATGTGAGAGCAAAGAAAGAATTTTTCCACAGAGGCAGACTGTTAACGTTAGTGACGGTAAAAGTTTGAGGCTGTCCCCACCGTCTCTGAAAGTGAAGCACAGCAAAATGTACAAGTTGCTGTACGCTTTCTCCTGGTTGTTGTTGTCGTTTTACAGTGACATTGTCCATGTAGCCAAATTGTTTTACTTAAAATTTTGTAAGACGTCTTCTATCACTCTCAGAGAACCATGGTGCTGCATGCAAGTGAAGGGGGGTGGGGATGGGTGACAGCCGGTAACAAAAATACATAAATAGCAATGAGTCAGGTTTGAAT